TTTTTGTCCATTACAAAGCTTCTTCCCTTTCGGAATGGCTGAATCCGGGAGCAAAAGTTCGTTGGCATTCCTCGCATACACCATAATAATATTGTTATTGAAAGTAAGGCACTACTGGAGTCAGCTGGGCCCATTCACACCGGCGTATGTAGTGAACCAGTTTAAGGCTTGGCCATCCCAAAGAGGTTATATTAATTTAGTACTAGAGGTCGTGGCAGTGATGTCCCCGGGGGCTCTCGTGGTCTAGAGGTTAAGGCTTTCGCCTCTCATTCAAAGGTCCCGGGCTCGATTCCGGCAAGCGACGGAAAAAATTTTGCTCTCTAAAGTTGTCTCCTTTCATCTTCTTTCCTGCTCTCTAGCAATGTTCTGTAGTCTGCTTCCATCTCCACTTTCTGTCCCCATCCCCTCACCTCGTTAGCCCTCTCCTCTGGGCTCTGGACTCCTTCTCCAACCTTCCTACTGCTATGACATTATGCAGTTAGCAAGCGCCATGAAACACTTACCAATTTTTTAAAAAACTAACTAAAAGGAAATAATAAAAAATGATGTCCTCCACGTAAACGAACGGGGACGCTGAACCACAAGGGTAAGATTATGGGCAGTTCAACAGACGTGTGGGTACTTTTCCAGATTTACGTTGAGGGAGGTATCTCGGCGGTACAAAGGGGCCGTGATACAACATTTTGATGCACACTTGCCTGCCCACACACGTTTCAGTTTTGTCGAAATCTTCGACATGTAAAGAAAGCGAAAACGAGACATGTAGAGGAGGGATTGGGGCGGGGTGGGGCGAGGAGAGGGGGGCGGGGGAGGTAGGTGAGTAGGTGGGCTTCCAAGGAAATTATAGGAGGAGGGGTGTCCTTTTTTATGTGGCTTCTTTTCGTCTTCTCATAACATTCTGATAAACAGAAAAAAGCTGGGAAAATAGTTAACTCGGTTTGATTTTTTTTAAAGATAGAAAGGTCACAGAAGAGAGAAAGAGGGAAATAGAAGGAGAGAGAAGGAGAGGAGGCGATTGGGCAGGACGAGAGGTCAACGGGATAAGAGAACGAAAGAGATTTAAGAAAGAGTGAGGGAAGAGAGAGAGAGAGAGAGAGA